TTCCTTCCTTCCTTCCTTCCTTCCTTCCTTCCTTCCTTCCTTCCTTCTTACCTTCCTTCCTTCTTTCTTACCTTCTTTCCTTCTTTCCATTTTACTTCCGTCTTTCCAGTAACTTACTGTCACAGGAACTAAATAGGATCCTCTTCAAAATACATTAATCACTTCTGCAAGCAGTGTGCCCCAGTCACCTTCCACTCTGTCCCATGGATCTTAAAGGATCCACCACCTCTCAATATCCCTATGATCCCATGAGCATGTGATGGAGAATCAGCAAGGTGGGGAAGGCAAGGATTAGAGGCAGCCTGGCTGTACTCAGGAGTATTGGGGAAATGTAAGGGCTGCCTGGATTCACTGGCATCCAGATGTGCTGGCATCAGAGGGGAAGGGCCAGGATAGGACAGTTTGAAATTTGAGATATTCATGGTTGCAAGCTAGAATAAAACTAAAAAAGGTGAGTGTGTGGGCATAAAGAAAAGTCGCAGTGGTTAATAACCTCATTTACCCAGAGAAAGCTCCGTCTTAGGTACTTATTTTATTATAATAGTCCTTTGAGGGAGACACCATGATTAACACTACTTTACGGAGTAGAAAAACTAAGGCATAAAGTTTACCCAAGCAAGCAGATACTCACTAATGCCCTGTGACTCCAAGTGTGACACGGTGACCAGCGACATTAAAATCACTTGAGCGCCTAACAGAAATGCAGAACCTCATGCCTAGCTCACACTCATGTAATATTCGGCTTAGATTTTAACCAGACTTCCAGAGGATGCATGGGCCTATCAGAATCTGGAAAATGTTGGACTAGGGGGTCTTCTTTATCCTGGTTCATCAATGGCATGTGTTTCAAGAAATGATTGTTGGCCTATGCTGTGTTGGGTATCTGCCAAGCTCAGTTCCTCTAAGACATGATGCCTGCCATTTCCGAAGACTACTGGTGAGATAGCCAATCTTTGCTAGGACAGACAAATATGTCTCCAAAGGGGAAGCCTTGTGAATGTTGTATACACACAAACATTTTATCCTTGGTTTCTACTTTCTCTTACTAATGACAACAGTAATTAAGATGAAATCCCAAAGCTTGTCAGTCTCATCCTAGTCCATTTCCCAGTTGCTCCATTCGTGAGACAACTGATTGGGCACTTAAAATCTCAGGTCTTCTTGTATAAAACAGGCATGTGTATAAAATAGAATGCCATAGGAACTGATAAAATAATTTATACAAAGAACTCAGGGCTAAACACAGAGTTTGTAAATGTTCGAGGATAGGCAATTGTAGTTAGGGTTTGTAATTTCAATCTTAAAATTTTTCTAGGTATCTGGAAATTGGCTGTATAAATAATTCCTAACAAAGGTACACTTGATACTTAGTCCAATAAGTGTGTGTGTGTGTGTGTGTGTGTGTTTTAAAATCCAAGTGAGAGACTCCAGTTCTCTCCAGATTATAGAGTGATCTGCAGAAATGAAGCATTGTACAGGGACGAATAAGTTCCCTTTGGAACAGGATTTCAAAGTTGTCTTACTCGGACTTGACACCATTCACCTGCACGTTGTTTCTTCTTGTTCTTCTTAGGTCATAAAGTCGCTGTACTATATCGTTTTACTTAGGCCCTTACAAATTCCCCAAGACACAACTGGTGTCCCCTACCCCGCAATTCATGTCCGTGAACAATTTAAAGAAAAGAAAACACAAAGCCAGGGTGTGTGACTGTAGTGCAAATTCTAAGTGGTCTAAACAATAAAATCCTAGAGTCCGCTCATCAGGGGGAAAGCTGAAAGAAAAGAGAAGCCGAGCAGCCAGCCACTAGTTCTCATCTCTCCTACAGACCAAAAGGGCCGTCCTGTCCCTACAATGTCTAACTGGATGTGTTGCTCCTGTCTCCTCCCACCTTATGTTCTTCTCTCCACCCAGTCATATCACTCTTGTCTCCACCTCCCTAGTGCTGGAAATAAAGGCATGTGATTTCAAGTGCTGGAATCAAAGGTGTGAGTTCTGTTTCTCTTTTAGACTGATTCCATCTTGTGTAGCCAAGGGTGGCCTTGAACTCACAGAGATCTGTCTGCCTCTGTCTCCCGAGTGCTGGGATTAAAGGTGTGTGCCACCACTGCCTGGCCTCTATGGCTAACTAGTATGGCTAGCTCTGCACTCTAATCTTCAGGCAAGCTTTAGTTGTTAGATCATAAACAAAATATCACCACATGTGACCAATAAAAAATTATTGTTTTACACAAACAGAATCTATAGAATTTTCAACAATTATTTTTTCTTTAACATTTGAGGGGTGGCACACCAAAAGCTAACTAATACAAACAGCAACATCGATATCCCACCTTCAGTATCACTGATGTTTGATAATTGTCACTATTTTTATGTTGAATTGTCTTTTTTTCCATTTAGTATCCTGAAAAGGCATTTCTCACAAACACACATATGTAGAGCTGGAGAGATGGCTCAGCCATTAAAGGCTGGGCTCACAACCAAAAATACAAACATACATATGTGCATACCAAGAAAGACACATGATCACATATCCTTTGACTTCAACTCAGAGGGGGAAAAGGGAGACTAGCTATCTTTTTTTCTGACAGTCCTACTATGTAGTCTAAAATTACCTTCAACTTACAACCTTCCTGCCTTGGAATTTAAGTGTAGGAATTACAGATAACCAATAACTAATAATCAATAATTAAGTCTACTGAAGGTATTTCACTTAGGTTCACAGGCATGAAGGAAACTGCCCATCACCCAAATGAACCAGGAATATGTATCTGCAGGCATACCAGCTGACTCAACATCTGGAGGTAGCTATTCAAAATTAAATATTCCAGCAAGGAAGTGAAGCTCTTCCCAGAGCCTGACAATCTCTTGCGTTGGCGCTATCAAGCCCCACCTGAGTTTTCCAGAGGGAACTGGCAGCTGTCGACTAGAGGAGCCGAGCACACAGCTAGAGTCTTGCTGTCTTCCTTCCCAGAGGCTGGCAGGTGAGCCATTTCTGTGCTCCACTCACAGCAGTAAATATCTGCGGCTGAGTCATCAGAAGAAGCGTGCTGCTTCACTCAGTGAGAAAATAGAGGGGAAAGAACACCTGGGGAGAGGAAAAAGGCAGCCAGAAAGGGCTGGAGCTCAGCAGAAGACCAGCATTATGAAAGAATCGCAGAGCCTGGCACATACTAGGCCATCAATAAATGTTTGTTGACTGAACCAATATACTGCAGTCTGGCCACAGAACTTCATCCCTGTTTTCAGGTCTTGATGCAAATGAACTTGGCTACCCTCGCTGAAGCCTGGCTTTCATTCCAAGGTCAACGCTGATTGTCAGATCTTAAATGTCAGCACAAATGATTTGTGATTACCTTAGAAACTAAGATGTGCACCAGAAGCTTGCTCTTCAAGTGACTCTGGGCCAGATGATATCAAATGAATTAGTGCCCTCTATCTCAACCAAATCTTCTGGTAGAAACAACTGCCCATGGTATGACAGGCATTAATTTATGCAATCCCCTGCATCAAAGCAAAGGTTTACATGTATGCTCACCTATTTCTCATTGTCCTACACAAAATATCAAATGCAGCATTCTCTTTCAAATTAGCAAGCAAGGAAAAGAAGAAACCTTCTTAAAATGTTCTCCTGGCAGCATCTTTTGACCTATGCTTAGCATTCTGCGTAATGTATATGAGCAATAGATTGCAATGGTAGGAAGGTCGTACAGTGTCAGCCTAGCCTACATAGGAGCATGTGAGCCTACAGACAAATTGCAGCCAAACCTCTGGCCAAATGAGATTGACAGATGGGCATGCCAATTCCAGAGAATGTATATTTTCTGGATTTATAATTCAATTTGAAAAAATGAGAGATATTGTCGTTACAAATTCAATATAGTTCAGGGGATGAGCAAGGAAGGAGGGAAGTGGGGGTATTGTTGACCAATTTATCAAACTCAGTGTCCCTAAGGCTCTCCTTGTGCAACCAAGAGTAATCGCAGTAGTTTCCAAGGAAATGTTTGCAATTGTAGGCAACAACTGAATAACGTTCATTCAACAATTATGCATTTGTAAGTTATTTGTAGTCACTGCAAGAAAGATAGGCAGGACAGGTGACCCACACACATACCAAGGCAGGAATGTGGATAAAAGACTGTATAAAGTAGTTGCCTGGTAATTTTTTAAAAACTAGACTTTTAAGGGCAGGCAGCAAAAAAGAGGAGGTATCTATTGGAGGAGACTTCTAGTTAGTTCCCTGCTGCTCAGCCCCGAAATAATCACACAGAAACCATATTATTTAAATCACTGCTTGGCCCATTAGCTCTAGCTTCTTATTGGCTAACTCTAACATAATAATTTAACCCATCTCCATTAATCTGTGTATCGCCATGTGGCAGTGTCTTACCAGCAAACTTTTAGACTCTGGTCTAGATTCCATGGCATCTCCCCAACTCTGCCTTTCCTTCTCCCAGCATACAGCCAAACTTTCCCCGCCTAGTTCTGTTCTTCCCTGCCATAGGCTCAAAACAGTTCTTTATTCATTAACCAATAAAAGCAACACATAGACAAAAGGACCTCCCACAGGAGCCTAGCAATAATGACCACTCAGGCAGGGTTGCATTCTGAATTCTAGAAACAAACTGTTCCTGAACAAAGCTCATTTTAATTGGTTTGAGTTTTCTCCCTTTAAGATGAAAAAATAAAACAAAACAAAATAAATTCACAGCTGAGCAAACTTTACAGGGAACACTCACATACACAATGCCAGGGTTATGCAATGGGTATTTGCTTCCTTGCTCATCCACCAGTCCATGTTATTTTGCGTGTATTTCAAAGCGATTTGCAAGCACCCATTCTCTTTCTCTTGAACACATCTGCATGCATGCCACTTGCTGAGTTCAATACTGACTTATAGCTTTCTCCATCTCTTGAGGTTAAATTAACATACAATTAAATATATGTGCTCCCATGCATTTTAACTAGGGCACTTAGTAAATTCAAGAAAAAGTATAAAACTAACTGGTTAAACCAAACCCCGATCAAAATAAAGGATATCACCCAGAAAATTGTCATATTCCTATCCAGTAAATTTCTGTCCCTAACTCTCAGAGTCCATCATTTTTCTGATGTTTTTTTCTACTATAGGTTAGTTTCATATGTGCAAAATTTCTGTGTGTTACCACTGCACATCATTCTGGTGTAAATATTCTATTACTCACATGAATATTTTCACAATTCATTCATATTATTGTATTTATCAGTATCTCATCTCTTCTTAATGTGTAATAGTTTTCCACTGTATGATCTGTCAGAGTTCATTTACACATTCAACCATAGTTTGATATTTCAGTTTTTTTCCTGTTGTTTTCTTTTGGACTATCATGAACAATTTTGGATTGGTGGAAATGTATCAATTGATAGGTATAAGTGAAATAGATCTGTCAACTAACTCATATTCTACTTTTTCTATTATCATATGGTAAACACTGTCAAGTGGTATTTATTAATTTCAAAATTTGTATTATTATTTTTTTTTTGCTCATGGTGTACATGTGGAGGTCAGAAAATAACTTTGTGGAGTCTTTTCTCTCCGTCCACCTTTCTGTGGATTCTTAGGATTAAACTCATGTCACTGACTCATATGATCAGACCTCAAGAGGCATATTTTAAATATCAGATGTTAGAGCTGAAATCCCTCAGAATCTATAATGTTATCTATTTCACACTCAGTGTGTATATAGGTTGTATTGCTTCATAAAGAAACAAAATAAAATTCACTCACATAAGGAGAAATTATATGTTCTTGCTCTCACCTGAGATGATGAAGGGTGTGTGTGTGTGTGTGTGTGTGTGTGTGTGTGTGTGTGTGTGTATCTGTGTGTGTATCTGTGTTCTATCTGCCTGCCTAAATCCGGGCAGCTACCATTGTTGCTCTCCCGAAGTTAATGATCCTCTGACCTTCAGAGCTTTCCTCTTTCCTGCATTTGTCTGTCCTGTTCCAGTTGCCTGAAGAACTATCCTTTGCAAACTGCTCTGGCCTCTGATGAGCTTAGACTTCTTCCTCACTAATTAAAACTTTCATCCCAGGTTAGCCTGGGAACTTCAATGGCATCTTCACCATGTTCAGTGGAATCTATGAGTTGACTCTAGTGGGCTTTTCCAGCATGATTACCAGCAAACGTCTAGTAATTCCTATCCTTATCCAAATAGTAGTGTCCTTTGGTAGCCTCCCACTTGATTTTCATTTCCAAGTACTGGGAAGCATCTAGTTTGCAGAACAGACATGGCGACTGTAACACAAATTCAATGAATGAGCAATAAAGCATTCTCTAAGTGTCTGCATTTCCCCCCACTGCCGTTCACAGTCTTCTCCCCACATCCTCACTCTCGTAAGCTCTCATGGCTCAATTGGTTGATATCAAATACCAAATTCTTTGAAAAGATGACACAGTAGCAGCCACAGGTACTATTAGAGGAGGAGTCATTAACAGGTGTATCACTGTGGATATCAACTGTGATACAGGATGAAGGGTAGTGAGGCCATCATGGGGTGCAGGTTAGAGCTATTTGGCTCCAATATCATAGCACTTGAGCATTTGTGGCTGTCTTTAAGGAATTTCTTCTTATGTCTTTTCCTGTCATCAGTCCTCACCTCTGCTTGCTGCTGTTAGTTTACTTTGTCTCCAGAAGCATCGGCCACTCTCCCTTTGCTGTTTCTGATGTAACATTTGGGGGAAATACAGTCTCCAGGTAATAAGAGTATGTTAGCAGGCACAGTACCTCAAATAATCCGAGGACTCTAAATCTGTTTTTCAAACATTAAGAACTAAATAACAGCCTCCTGTTACAACATGGAGGAAAGTCTGATAAAATAAAATACAACCTCTTCTGACATCCCAAACAATGAAAATCTTATTAGAAATGAAAGGGAAAAAACATCCAAGTTCTAGACAATAAGAAAAAAATGAAAATCAGAGTAGTAACTACGATGCTGGTGCCCACTGGGGACCTTAGCTAAGAGAGAGGCTCCAAGGACTGAGATGAGGCTTTAACATCCTTCCACACACAGAATTAGTGGACTTAGGCCCAGTTAAAGGGAGTTTCCCAGTTGAGTCACCTGAATAGAGCTTGGAGTCTCAGAAATATCCTCTTTATAAAGGAGGCACAGAAATATTCTGTCTTCTGGCTCAGTGAAGCAATAAGGAAGCTTGCTATTTGGGAGGAATTCTTCAGCGGGACTATTAAAAAGGATTTCTGTGTCTTCTATGTCTTTTAGATGTGAAGTTTAAGTCAAAACTACCTATGGGCTTAGAAAACCCAGTTGAGATATTGATATAAAAATTGGTCCAGGGCTTGGAAAACCCAAGAGTGTCAGCAAAATCAATATGAAATCTGAAGACCATAGGGGCTCTAACATAGGGAAAGAAAAGACAAAGATAAACTCATAATCAAAGATGGTGCTAGCTACACAGGGAAATGCGATACCACAAGGAATCGTTAGTCAATGAAACAAAGAGAACCAGTAGAACCAACCAAACCACAAGAAATCATAGAAGAATCTGAAGGGTATTATGAGACAAACATCATAAAGATAATGAGATAAAAGAGTAAATAGGCATCTTGATGAACCTAAAGGATAGTGCAAGCAGAGGGCAACCTGATTGAAATAATAATAAATTTAGAACAATAACAAGCTGTAAGAACAATAATTAGAATTTAGAGTGAATTTAATAGTTCAGCATTAAAACTTAAGGGAAGCAATTTCTTTAAAAAAATGGCATCAGAGGAAAAAGAAAGCAGGAGAGAAAAGGAAGAATGATCAATGAAATATTTAAAAGTTAAGATCCAAAGAATTAGGTCTGGGCATCATTTTCTATCTAATTTTGCATGTCTAGGCAATCCCAGGATAAGAAGACCACAAAAATGCTTCCTGAATGAATGCAGTAGCAAAAGAACAAATCAAAGTTTGAGAGATTGGTGAGTATGAAGGAAAGGCAGCCTTCTGACCTGATGCTTTTTCAATATCCTAAAATCAAAACTATCTACCAACACTTATCTTAACAATAGCAGGCAACCATGAGTCAAGGCCATTTATAGATACCCAGAAACAGTACACGGTC